AAAGCATTGTCGACACTATAAGGTAAATATATTCTTTATCACGGTCCCTACCCGAGCCGATGTAGCCATTTCCGTCTGTCCCTCTGTCCGTGAGAACTTTTTGATCTTGAAAACTAGGGACAGTAGACACTATCGATATTATCGATACTATCGAAATCTTAGAAAGTAAACGACAAATTATAAAAAACTAAAAATAAATTAAACAGATTTTTTAATATTTATTCTTACAAAAAATCAATCTAAAAACTCTTTTTTATTCTACAAAAGTACCAAACAAATTGTTTTGCTGAGCGGTATAGGGCCCAAGCCATACATGTTTCCTAAATTTCAAACCCATCGATAGTATCGATAGCGCAATCGATCGATTTGATTTGAGACTTGACATGCAGATTCCTAAGCTTCTGATTCAGCGCAAGTTTTTTATCCCAACTTTCCACGCTTCGGACACGCCCGACTAGAGTCAGAAATTTACTCATACTATACATACAAAAATATTATGAAGGGCAAACAATTTGTTTTATAATTTGGATTTCATAGGCAAACATAAATGAAAGCTTAAGAAATGTAGCCACTGTACAGGGAAATTAAAAACTACCACCGAAAAAGTTTAATAAATAATGTTATAGTCCGCTTATTGTGTACCCCATAAATTAAGAACATACGAAAGCATTTTACATATGCATATGAACGCTTAAGGCTGCAAATTTGAATAAATATTCAATTCATTAAATAAAGGACACGTATTATGATGTTATTCGCCCATTCCCAAAATTTCGCAACGGAGTTATGCCTAATTCGCATTTGCCGAAAAATATGAAAAAATGTTAAGGCGTACAAAAGCGGGAAATACATCCGAAAAAGAAAATTTAAAAAAATGCATTGGCAGCCTACAAATGATGTTTTAAAAGATTTTCAGTTGATTTGCAACGGGGTGGACAGAAGCAAGAGCTAAAAGCTCCTAATACAAAATAATTTGAATTAAAGAAGAAACCGTAAACGATGTTAAAACCAGGCGGGAAGAGGAAAAATTAACATAAAATATTTGTAAAGCCGCTTGGGTCAAATGAAAGGCGGCCAACCTGAATGGGTTTGGCCGAGCCCATCATTTTATTAGCATTCCATTCGGGTCTTTAATTTCAATATTGACTTTTTTTAAACATAACCTTAAATATAAAAGTTTGGCACGGTCAAGCACTCCCTCCCTATGCAATATACTTTTCTCGCAAATCGACGAAATGCACTGAAAAATATATTAATTGTTTAGTTTAAAATATTTCTAATTTTATAAAATAGGTGCTTAAGACTCGAAAGATTTCGCTGACTCTTTGACCATTCCACTCCACCATTGTGACGTGATAATAAAACAAGAAAGGAAGATAACTTCTAACTGAAATCTTTATATCTCCTGCAAGGGTATAACAATTAAAGGGTGACATTATAGTTGTAAAACAAGAGAAAACACTGTAGTCGATGGCCTCGACTATTAGATACCCGTTACTCTGCTTTTTTCACTAAGACAAGATACATGACCTAAAATGATCAATAATGGTTTGTTGAAGGTGCGATATTACCTCATGAAGAGGTGTGTTTGTTTGATAGATATGGACATGAGGCTTTCAAATAGAAACAAGAGAAATCAGATACCCGTTACTTAGCTTAAGGGAGTGCGAGAGGAATGGAAATATGCTGAAGACAATTCTGCTTTTTTCACTAACACTTTCTTCTATAGCGCCAACAATCAACTATTGATATTTATACCCGTTACTCGTAGAGTAAAAGGGTATACTAGATTCGTCGGAAAGTATGTAACAGGAAGAAGGAAGCGTTTCCGACCCCATAAAGTATATATATTCTTGATCAGGATCACTAGCCGAGTCGATCTAGCCATGTCCGTCTGTCCGTCTGTCCGTCTGTCTGTCCGGATGAACGCTGAGATCTCGGAAACTATGAGAGCTAGGCTATTGAGATTTCGCGTACAGATTCCTGAGCTTCTTACGCAGCGCAAGTTTGTTTCAGTAGACTGCCACGCCCACTCTAACGCCCACAAACCGCCCAAAACTGTAACTCCTACAGTTTAGATGCTAGACAGAAAATTTTAACTGAAATGTATTGTTCTCATCAATACCTATCGATTGACCTAAAAAAAGTTTGCCACGCCCACTTAAACGCCCACAAACCGCGAAAGCCTGTGACGCCCACAATTTGCATGCTAGATACAAAATTTTAACTGAAATGTATTGGTGTCGTCAATACCTATCGATTGATCCAAAAATAAATTTGACACGCCTACTCTAACGCCCATAACGCTTAAGTCTGTCTACCGCCGGTAGGTGGCGCATTTTAATCTCGCTTTGCTGCTTGCATATCCCCATTTCCCTTTGAGTAACGGGTATCTGATAGTCGAGGTACTCGACTATAGCGTTCTTCCTTGTTTTTTTTATTATATCTTTTAAATGGTCCGATTTCAATAATTTTTTGCAAGTAGTATTGATAGTAAGAAATCTCATTTAGATTTAAACAGGAAGTTAAAATATGTGAGCGTTTTAGTATTAAAGTCGTTTGTGGGCGTTAGAGTGGGTGTGGCACCCTGCTGAAACAAACTTTGGCTGCGCAATTAGCCTTTTCCCAAAAAATGCTTGGACTTTTTATCGATAATAGCTTCATAAAACTTTTTCATGAGTGACCACGTTTGATATCGATTAATGATTAACCAAAAACTTACCTCGACAGAAAAGAAAATTAAGTCGTTAACATTTTCGTGCAATAATTTTTCATAACTTTCGAAATGGATTATCACAACAAGAGTGCATCGATGAACTTAAATCTTTGTATGGCGATGAAGCACCATCCTATAGCACTGTGAAAAGCTGGTAATGAGTATCGCTCAAAAAAGGATCATGTGGATTGGTGCAAGGACTTTTGGAAAATATACACTCATGGTGTTTCAAAAAACGATTATAAGATCGTCAAAGCTGACGAGTCTTTGATCTATCCTTATGAGCCCAAAACAAAACAGCAATCGATCGTGTGGGTCTTTGAAGACAAGCCAAATCCAACGAAAGGTGGTCGTGATAGAAGCACTTCGAGTCAAATGGTCGGTCATTTGGCGACTGTTCCGCTTGAGCAACGTAGAACGGCCGATTCTGAGTGGTACACCATAATTCGTTTGTCTGAAGACTTCGGATAATTTCGAAAAACAAACAATGGAAGACGGGTCATTGTGGATCATGAGAATACGAGCTCTCACACATCAGTTCAAACCAGAGCATTTTTTACCGGCCAAAACGTCGAATTGATGGTTCATCAGCCGTACAGCCCTGACTTTGCACCCTATGACTTCTCTTTATTCTCGCACGTCAAAAGAACAATTCGTAGTCAACGATGTTTTTATTGTAAATGTTTAAGATGTATTGGAAAATTAATAAGTCCCAAATGAGTAAAACGATTCACAATGTTAATGTAACTTTTAACCCATCTTATTTTTCTGAAGCACAAATTTAATAAAGCATCCTGTTGCATACTCAAGTGGGTAGTCAAGAAATAAGTTGTAGCTATACCCACAAGGGGGAAGTTGTAAAGACTATGAACACAAACGTCTCACTTGGCTTTTTGACAGCCTCTCGTAAAGCGCTCCAACTTGAGGACACCACAAAATTTCTAAACAAAAAGTGTCCTTTCAGAGAACTTTTTGTCTTGGGTAGGCCATGTATACATACTTATAGCGAAGAATTTGTGTATGCGCTAGGATTTATGTCGCGTGTTCAAAAATTTGCTAGGCTAGAAAACAAGCAGTCAGCACGCAGGCAGGGTTCTAGGGGCATCTTAAGTTCTTCTAAGAAGTTGGGCGTTCTTGACAAGAGCCTGAAAGCAAAGTTAGAATGAATTTTCCGAGACTGCTAAGTTGCTTCGTCCTTCAGGATTGTTACGGTGGTAGACAAGCTAGGTAACTAGGCTAAATACAATACTTAAAATATGTCGTTCGAAGGATTTCTTAAGCGAATTTCTCCAAGGCACAGTTTTAAAGGCGTGTTGAATAAACTACTTTACCAAGGTTAGTGCGTGGAATCCATATCGACAAAATATATAACGTTATACACTGTCAAGTTATCAACTAAGTCAACTCTTAGTCACTACCATTTATTTACGTTTTCCATTCAATTTGAGGACTTTTCCGCCCAAGTCTGAATGATTTTATGTTAACTGCCAAGTGGCATGCAAATGTAGACCTCAAAAAATATTATATATATGTCCTCGGACATCGTATGTTTTCCTGGAAAAAGTTATTGGGGTAATCAGTCCTGAGCAAATCAAATTCATTTTATATGTCTGTGTGACTTTTGGGTGACTTTGAAGCACAAATACCACACATAGTTCGTTTGGCCTGGCTTTGTTTTTTAAGCTTTCTTGACTTTATTTTTATATTTTGTTTTTTTGTCAAGTCGTGGCTGCTGCTTAACGAACAGAATAATTTGCATAACAAACAGTAATATTTGGCTAAAAAGGAGCTGAGAACAGCAGCCACACCAGTATCTTGGGTCAGAATACAATGTATATGCCTTGGGGCTACGTTTTGTATACGTTACTTGGCAATACAAATGATAAAATCATTTTTAACACATTTTACGTTTTGTTGGAACTGGGATACCCAATAAAACTATTTTGAGTTTCTCACATTCTTCCAGGCTGTATCCAATTATGGGCAAAAAGAATCAACTTTTTTTTGAAAAGCTAAATAAAGGATTCCGAAATCGAAAAGTTTCATTTTCAGTAATGTGTAAAACGATACGTGTTGTGTTATTTTGTACTTCAGATATATGAAAGCATAATATATAAAGCTTAATTTTTAGAAATGACTTCGGTCTGGTCTAACAATTTATGACTAGGAAAAAGTGTTCATGTGCCCAACTTCCATTTCTGACTGCGAAGCTATGAATCCCCGCTGTGGGACATGGCGTATACGTAACATAAGCTAGTGGCCTACAATTTCAAAGCATACTCACCCAAAGTGGGCCCCGATGAATGAAAGTGCGTCCGTTTGGCCTAGGAGCTCACTCGAACTCGATGCTGGAACTTTAAGCCGCTTTGAAGACTGTCGACAGCCGAAAGGCTTGTCTGGCAGGAGATTTGGCCTGTTTGAGGTCCTTTGCCCTGCTGCGACACGCGCACTTCGCTCGAGCTCACACACACGCACTTCTAGTGGGCAGGAAGTCCCTTATACCGGAGGCAATTAAAACGCTTCGGCCATTTGACTTTCTCCACGTACCACCCACTGCCATCTGGTAATTTTAAACTCAAAGGTTCATATATCCTTGACTGCCACAAGTTTCGCTGAAGAATGTAAACGTTCTTTCTTTTCGGGCTGGCACATGGCTGAAACGCTTTGTTGTGCCGCACACAAATATTCGGCAATTAAGCGCTTGGCCGGCACACGGTGCGTATGAGCGATGGCGAGCGCGGTGGAATTGGTACCGGAATGCCTAGAAGTACTCGTAATGTAAGCAGGCGTCAGCCGGCTGGCGTGTGTCATCTTTAATGGCGGCCATGGCGACGGCAAAGATGAAGGAGCGGGAAGGTATTTCCCCGGATTGCTGTGCTGCCGGTGTTGCGGTTTGTTGTGTGATCAGATCACGTATTGGCCGGGTCAGTACCCACGACGGCGACACTTTATGGCTCCCACAAGGGACGCGTTCTCAAGTGAGCCAAGTTGGCTTTTATAATCCTTTGGAGTCAATGTGGGCTACTACTGAGCAGTGCCGGATCCAAGATTTTGATGTTCAGGGGTTTTCAGAACACAATTTGCCGTGGCATACATTTTCTTTCACTTCTTACCCGTGTGAGGGGTATTTATCCTCAAATTTGGATCCGCGCCTGCTATTGAGGTGCTTCAAAACTGAGAAGCACGTTAGTTGAATATGACCACCTTATGGCAGGGATTGAAAACTGAAGGTGTCAACTTTCAAATGATGACACGAAATACTCTTCGAACATAAAATTAGGTGCAACTGGAGATTGTCAAAGGAGGAGTACTACAAAAAGCATTGATCGTTCGACTATAATGTGGTAAAGTATTGTTTTAGCTAAAAGTTGCGAGCATGTGTTATATGGATTGATACAAACACCCTAATGAGACCTCACAAGAAATTATTAATCATTCGACTAATGAAAATACTGATATCCGTAATTTGGCTTGTTTACGGTGCGATTGTTAAAGGTACCCCTTAAAGAGGTGTGTTTTTTTGATAGCTTAGGCTTTACTTAGCCCATACTTATTCAAAATATTTTATTAGGTTAATAATTTTTGAAGTCTTATAACATGCCTTGCTTGTTTCACACTTTTAGCACTCTTTCCTTAAATTCTCCCGGAGGAATATGGAAGGAGTGAGAAAGAAACAAATTAATTTCAACTTATTTCTCCGAAAGGGGTACATATATGTTTATTAATTGGCTTAGAAGACACCTCGTCGCGTTATCCCCAAAGTGAGTTTATCACTGTTTTCATTTCGCTAGGCAGGCTGTAATGCCCATCGAAGAGCTATTACCAGGCCAGGCACGCCCGGATTTCTCACCGCGCACCCGCCGCCCAAAATATAGCAACCCGCTGCCGACCGAGCGATCCATTCATAAAAAACTTTCACCCAGCAAAGTTAAAGCTTTAAACACTGACACACGCGATTGGGGTTTCCTGCACAGTTGCCTACTTTTTGGGGCGGCAGAAGCCTGAGAAGCCTTAATCGAAATCAGCGCGACTTGCGCCGGAACTCCGAGTGAATTTCGCACGGACACGCAACCAGACGCTCCGAGATTTGCACGGGAACTGAAACTGAAATCGAAACGGACCGAGTCTGATTGGGCCGCAGCAGCCGCCAAATGGAAGAAGCTGAGTTACTTCGGCGGCAGCGAAAGTGAAACGTAACGCATACGCAGCGTTGACCCGCTTCCCCACAGGGCCAACGGAAAGCTTTCGCCCCTCGCGAGCTTTCAGAGCGGCACTCGGGAGAGCAGGACTCGGAACAGCTGACTTTTGTTTTTAATTCTGCGCCTTGCCGGGTGGCCTCCTGAATCGCTGTTGTCTGGGTCCACTTTTCTTTCGCCAAGCAGTTCTGCTTATGCAAAGTTTTGCTTGGGAATTATCAGTAAGTGGTTCTACTACACCACTATTCGCCCACGACTTCGGCTGTTGTTGACATGGCCAAGGTCACGCAAAGCCGGTTCGCCAAATATATCACTGCTTAAGCCAGCGGACATTTTATGTCAAATGTTGTCAGCCAGCCGAGCTTATATCGTTATATTAAACAAGCGATTTATTGGTAGTGAAGTTCCACGAAACAAATTAGTGTAACAATCCTAGAAGTATGTAATTCCCGAGCATATATGTCTAGATATTTCGACGTTCAGCTCACATTCCCAATGTGTTGACAACCAGTCAAAACTTGCAAGTCCTAAGGAGTCGAGGTTCACCAGTCAGTATGATAAATGCTAAAAACGATGTGTTGCCAGTTTAGCTATATATTCAAGTAAAACAAAAGACGTGTCTTCCATATCACTGTGGACGGCTGTCCACGTAGTGACGAAGCGCACCGGGAGAGTGTGCGTAGGTGACTACTATATAAAGCCGCAAACTCAGAAAAAAATCAAGTAATTGGTGCTTGATTCAAGTATTTTCGGTGTCAAAACTTCGAGGAAAGTGCAGCTTAGGAGCACGAATTTTCTAGACCGAAAATACTAGGTTTCAGAACCTTTCGGTACAATCAATAGTCATATTTATACTAAAAACAAGAACGATTTAATAATTAAGTAAGTAAGTTGCAGACATTATTTAAAGACGAATAATTTTTACATATATTGTTAATATAAATTTGTTTTAAATTATGGGCTAGTAAGAGATTATTGGAAACTGAAATAAACTATATATATCTAAAAAATATTCATATTTTATGTTTACTTACGACTTGCCGCTCACGGGCATTAACAGTGGGTAATTTATGCGCCCTATTAATTATATTATTAATTTCGAGTCGTATACACATACTTTTGGAAAAATCCGCTAGTTTAGCGGAAAATTACAAAAAAGTCAGATTTGAATGCGTATAGTTTCTAAACTACTAATGCTACAGACACGTGCTATATGTGCTGGCTAATCACACTGCCTTTGTTAAATTGACTAAGTATAATAAAACGAAGTTATAGATAATATTTATTTTAACCACCTTTTGCCAACTTTTTCCGAATTGGTTAGAATGATTTATATTTTCACCTTAAATTATGCCCGAGTAGATTGCTATTAATTAACTGATTTGTAAATCGTAGAATATTAAAGGTGATATTGATTCCGTAGATTTGGTAAGCCGCTTAACCTTTAATGTTCCTGCTAGACTAACTACACAGAGGGAAATATTCAAGTACATTATTCATGAATTGAGAACATTCGTTCTTTAAAACTAAGGAAAGTAAATTTTGGAATCAATGTTCTCAATGCTAGAACGAAATGGTGAGAAGAGAAAAGTTAAATTGAGTTTATTTAACAGTAGTGTACACTACTGACTGGACTAATAGTTTATTTGTTGAGATACACTATGCAAATACCGCCATTTCAACTTGATTCGAGCAAAGTGAAAACATTTTCATCTTCAAAAATGTCGTTCTATTTTTAGGAACATGTTCAACTCAGATGAGAACATCAGAATTTTATCTATGTACTATTCTATTAACTAACATCTTAGCCACTAAAATCTTAGCTCATTTGCTTCAGTGTTAGTTTCTCTTTGTTTTATCCCGTCTTTGTTTGTTCTATGTACCTTTTTCGAGAATCGTATTCGCCCCAAATGAAAAATGGGATCCGCGTACTTGGTGTCGTTGGGCCACTTGTTTGCATAACGTTCAATAACAACAATAATAATTATAATATATAGCCCTTGACTTTGACTTGATTTTTGACGTATAACACTGTTTGTTATAAAAAATACCGTTTGGAAGATATTGATCGATAAAGAGGGCAATCCGATTCAGTTCAGTATGAAAAGCATTTAATGCTTGCTTGAATGGCCGAACACTATGAACCATTAATTTGAATTAAATTAATGTAAAAAAATTCTTATTAGGTATTTTTTAAGTATAAGAAAAACATTTGGAATTTTTTATTGAAAACGAAGGACTAAAAATTTCTTGTAATAAATTAATTAATAATAATAAGATTAAAACTGAAAAATGTTCTAGGTTGAATTTCCGACCTAATTACACATACTTTATTTAAATTCTTAGAAAAACTCTTTCTATACTTAAGGACGTTAGGTATTGATAAAAACAATAAATTTCAGTTACAATTTGTATTCTAACATTACAACTGTAGGAGCCACAGTTTTGGGCGGTTTGTGGGCGTTAGAGTTGGCGTGGCGAAACAAACTTGCGCTGCGCAGCAATCTCAGGAATCTGCATGACTAATCCTAGTGTTGTAGCTTTTATAGTTTCCGAGATCACAGCGTTTATACGGACAGATTTTTTAGATTTCGTTCGAAATTCTGAAATTAAGACAATGATATTCCCAAGAGAAGAAGTTAATATGTCAAAGAACACTGAAGTAATAACTAACTTACATTTTAAAAATAATTTTTTTATCATTTTTGTGGAAGCTTTAGGATATAGTGGTCCGATCTGGCGATTATATACTTCCTTCAATTGAAATAAGACATACGGACAGAGGGACAGACGGACATGGCTAGATCGACTCGGCTAGTGATCCTGACCAGGAATATATATACTTTATATGGTCGGAAACGCTTTCTTCTGCCTGTTACATACTTTCCGACGAATCTAGTAAACCCTTTACTCTACCGGTAACTGGTATAAACAGCACACATGCTTACTTTATTGGAACTTTAAAGCTGGCATACAAAATGTTGTTCAGCATATAGTATAAATAGCAAATAGTTTGCACATAATTAAAAATGTTATTCGTTTTTAATGATCAAATTTATAACTATTTACAAGAAACCAAAAATTGTATAAACAATGTTTCGTGACTTGGGAGTCCCTTACAAATTTAGTTAGTAAAATTCACTATTTAATAATATAACAACAGTAAAGTAGTAAAACTACTGTATAAATAGTAAAACAACTCTAAAAATAATAAATTTACTGTATAAATAGTAAAAATACCATTTAATAGTGAAATTACTAAAAACAAGAAAAAAAGTTAGCTTCGGCAAGCCGAAGAAGCTATAATTATTAAATTTAAAAACACAAAAAATTATGCTCCCAATAGTATAAGAAAATATGTCAAAAAACACCGAAGCTTTAATTTGTTTCATATTATTTTCCTACCTATTTTCCGATCGTTCCTATGGCAGCTATATAATAGAGTCGTCCGATTTTGATCAAATTTAATTCGAAATTCAGAACTAATTAAAAAATGTTATTTCCAAGCGTTGGAGGTTATATGTTGAAAAACACCGAAGCTATAATTTGTTTCATAATATTTTTCCACCAATTTTCCGATCGTTCCTATGGCAGCTATATGATATAGTCGTCCGATTTCGATAAAATTTAATTCAAAATTCAAAACTAATTAAAAAATGTTATTTTCGAGCTTAGGAGGTTATATGCTAAAAAACACCAAAGATATAATTTTTTTAAATTTTTTTGTCCGATTATTCCTATGGGAGCTATAAGATATAGTTGTCCGATCCGGCTGGTTCCGACTTATATACTACCTGCAAAAGATATTTTAACCACCTTTTGCCAACTTTTTCCGAATTGGTTAGAATGATTTATATTTTCACCTTAAATTATGCCCGAGTAGATTGCTATTAATTAACTGATTTGTAAATCGTAGAATATTAAAGGTGATATTGATTCCGTAGATTTGGTAAGCCGCTTAACCTTTAATGTTCCTGCTAGACTAACTACACAGAGGGAAATATTCAAGTACATTATTCATGAATTGAGAACATTCGTTCTTTAAAACTAAGGAAAGTAAATTTTGGAATCAATGTTCTCAATGCTAGAACGAAATGGTGAGAAGAGAAAAGTTAAATTGAGTTTATTTAACAGTAGTGTACACTACTGACTGGACTAATAGTTTATTTGTTGAGATACACTATGCAAATACCGCCATTTCAACTTGATTCGAGCAAAGTGAAAACATTTTCATCTTCAAAAATGTCGTTCTATTTTTAGGAACATGTTCAACTCAGATGAGAACATCAGAATTTTATCTATGTACTATTCTATTAACTAACATCTTAGCCACTAAAATCTTAGCTCATTTGCTTCAGTGTTAGTTTCTCTTTGTTTTATCCCGTCTTTGTTTGTTCTATGTACCTTTTTCGAGAATCGTATTCGCCCCAAATGAAAAATGGGATCCGCGTACTTGGTGTCGTTGGGCCACTTGTTTGCATAACGTTCAATAACAACAATAATAATTATAATATATAGCCCTTGACTTTGACTTGATTTTTGACGTATAACACTGTTTGTTATAAAAAATACCGTTTGGAAGATATTGATCGATAAAGAGGGCAATCCGATTCAGTTCAGTATGAAAAGCATTTAATGCTTGCTTGAATGGCCGAACACTATGAACCATTAATTTGAATTAAATTAATGTAAAAAAATTCTTATTAGGTATTTTTTAAGTATAAGAAAAACATTTGGAATTTTTTATTGAAAACGAAGGACTAAAAATTTCTTGTAATAAATTAATTAATAATAATAAGATTAAAACTGAAAAATGTTCTAGGTTGAATTTCCGACCTAATTACACATACTTTATTTAAATTCTTAGAAAAACTCTTTCTATACTTAAGGACGTTAGGTATTGATAAAAACAA